CTCACCACATTCACAATCCTCCTTTTCCTCCTCCATTTGCAGCTCCATGTTCAATGTCCTTTATCCTGTACATCCGTTATTCCTCCCCTGCACATGTTCAACTCTCAGCCCTGCCTCTAACTGGAGCAAGGCTTTTCCAGTAAATGAGCACATTTTATAAAATGAAAATCTGCCACATAACTGTTTAGTGCTGTGATGTGTTCAGGGTGTAAACGTGGGCTGAGTCTTGATGATGAGTGTCACATTTGAGGCGTCATCAGCAGTAATGTAAACACTGAAGTCAGCTGTTGTTAAAAGTCCATATGAGGAGGAGGAGGAGGAGGAGGGCTGGAGCAAGCTGTGTCGCAGTGTTTCTAAACTGTTTGCCTGATGGTTTTTTTTTCTCCACATAAGTTACCCATATGAGCAAAAAGACAGAGAGTGTTTGACTGGAGAAGTAAAGAAAAAGAAAGAAGAGGATTTTAAAAAGGGGGATAGAAAAGGATGAAGTGTGTTTGAAAAAAAAAATCAGGAGAAGAATGCTGAAGAAATAAAACACACACATGCAGCGGTTTCACTTGTTCAGTAAAAATTCCAGGAGTGTGTGTCACTCTGGATCTGTTTGGTATGAGAAGAGTTACATGTAAGTCATATGAGTCACGCTAACAGCAGTGTTGACTTTAAGTGGCACAACCCCCACCCACCCACCACCACCAAAATCAATGTCAACAGCGTCAGTGAACTGGTCCAGAGGACCAGATTTAACATTTTTTTTAGATTTTTCTACCTGGATTATTGCGCATGCATCAGGATAGCGTCAGTGAAGGAATCAAACACAGGCAAAGCTCCAGAGAATGAGGAGGGGGAAAGGACTTTATTATAAAACAAAAGAAGAGTCCTTCCAGGCTTAAATTACAAAAAAAAGATGAACTTGAAAATTTGATGACAAAGATGACAACAGGAGAACATAATTTGATCTATGAAAAAAAGTGTTATTTAATTATTGTTCAACATTTTATACAATATTGTCTACGAAAGCTGGCAGAGCACTTTGGAGTAACACAGTGGAATTAATTATTAAGTATTATTAATTGTGTTTCTAGAGTTTTGACTTCGGATGGAGTTTCAAGATCTTACAGCTTTAGAGAACTGCACCGTCATTGTGCAGACGACAATGTTTAAAAGAAGAGGTGAATAAACTTTATGAGTAATTTATTCACTGTTGGGCTTAATGCTGTGTGGACATGTAATGACAATCAATGGGATTATCAATTGGATTAACATGTATAAATAAAAGATGAATGAATGACATTTCAGCTGAGACTGTACTGTATTACATACTAACTTGATGCAAGTGTTGAGAAGTTTGGATCGAAATTAAATAACATTTAGGATAACAAGCATTGTTTTTTTGGTCCCCCCCCCCCCCCCCAGGAGATGGACATCAGGATAAATGTGAGTTTTTCTTGTGTTAAATGTGTTAATAAAGCAGTTTATTTCTAAATTACACACACAGGCCTCTTACTTAGATGGCAGCCTTCAAAATACAGCTCTTGTATAACCAGGTGGTGCAGCGTCTATTCATGATGATCCACTCTGAGGTGAGATGGTTCCCTCTGGGCTTTCAGAGTGTGTTTGGTAAGTTCATACGTGTGTTTTTTTATGCCCTTACATCACTCACATCTCAAACCCTTTCTATGTTTATCACTTGAGCGCAGCGGGGCTGTTCGACTTGGCAAAGTAAAAAAACTGCAACTTCAAAGCACGACTTCAGCCAAATGAAAGCAAGGCAACAAACAAGCAAACAAACAAACAAACAAACTTAACGATCTGTTGATGTTAGATCCCTTTCCTGACAACATTTCTGAAACCTTGGCATGCTCGCAAACATTTCAAAAGAGCAACTTTTCCAAAAAGTGTGTGCTCAGTAGCTGGTTTTCATTACACGGCAGTGGAAACATAAACATTTCTGCTGAACAAGAACACAACACATCATATCTTATTCTAAATGTTCTTTATTTCTCAGGGTATTACAGAGCTGCTCAAACGTGACGTCTTCAGTTTAACATGAGAGGTTGCAGCAGATCTCTTCCTGTCTTTTCACACGTTTCATGCACTGGTTTGGTTTCTCCAAGAGAAGCTCTCAGCTGGTGTCCCATCTGAGCATGCTCAGGTGTACACACTGAAAGCTAACAACCTCGGCTAAACGAGCAAATGTTGCACGGACTCCATCACTTTGCTTCGCTTTTGTTTAAATTTACGGAGATTTCTGGGAAATTGGAGGACCAATAAACAAACAAAACTGACATGTTTGCACAAAGCAGCCACGTTTGTATCCTCAGACCAACTTAAATGGATGTTTATGCAACTTTATACACAATACGTCTAAGCATCATAAAACACATCGAATCAGAGTCACTTATTTAGTAACATTGTCACTTAATGGAGGTTTGATCCATCGTCAGCATAAACAAATATATATCATACTCCTTTAGAGTACCGCTGAATATCAATGCTTTACATTTAATTAAACAGAAACGCTCATTTCAGCTGCAAATCAACCACCTGAGAAGGAGATTAAACTCTTATAATAACAGTTTTAAAAGCTTTGCTAAGAGGCAGAGTCATTCTATGATTTAACACAAAATATAATTTGAATGTGACGTGAGAACAAAGTAGCTGAAGCTAAATGTACACAGGATTTAGAGAATTAAAACAGGAAATGGTGTTTTTGAGCTACATCAAAATAGAAATACCAAAGTAGGAAGGATTTATCCTCAAATCTTGATCAAAAGGAAGAAGCAGCTATTATGCAAATCATTGTTAATGTGTTAAGGTATTATATTTGGAATGAATTATACATAAAGCTGTCTTAATAGGAAAGCTGCTATTGTAAAAGTGTAAACGTACTGTAAGCAGAAAGTGACACAGGAAATGCCGTCTGTCATAGAACTGTGTATGACCTTTAGCCTGCTTAACTCCACAATGAACCAAGACGACACACAATCACCAAGACAAACAACCTATTGTGTCTTTTCCCTGAAAGACACAAAGCGTTTGCTATCAAGAGCGAAACATCAGCACAGTGAACACATTCAGTTACAGCAACAACATCGTCAACATGGAGGAAGCTGCAGTCTTCTTTAACTTTTGACTCAACAAGCAGAAGTTATATGTCTAAGTCCTTGAAACTGGGAAACAGAAGTTAAAGTTTATGACTTTAACTTTCTTTCAATGACTGTTAAGTCTTAATTTGCCTCATTTAAAAAAAAAAAAATCTTATTAGAGTCATGACATAGAAAACCTGGTGCTGGATGGCTAGCTCAGATCTTATGAACACATCACACAGTTTTTATTGTTCACTAGTGCAAAGAAACTGAAACCAAAAATTTGACATTTTAATAGTGCGATTACCCTTTTTTTTTTTTTTTTTAATTAATGAGACACAAGTCAAGACTATAAAGCACACTTTTCTGTTCATGCATAGGCAGTAAAAATGTGTTTTTGTTCAACACAAAATGAAGGTTGATGTTTAAGGTTTCATTCTTTCCTTTTCTGTTTCACACAAAGACTTATGTGTAGATAGAAAAATATAACAGATGCAAGTGATTTTTAATTCTGATTTAATGTACTGCTGAGGGTTTCCAGGTCAAACTTGTTGTGTTTTGGCTTATTTTTACACTTTTAGAACCGATTTCAACCTGTTTGAAAGGACAGGGATAAGATGGAAAACTGCAGGTGATGTATGTGATATTTACCCAAAAGATGGCAGTAATTAATACTCTGAAACTGTTGTTTTTAATAAAAATAAAAAACTTTACCAACCTATATTTATAAAGTCTATCATAAAATTGAACACATGGTTGATCTCATTATATTAAGTGCTCATATTTACATCAGTTTAAGTGTTTGAAAAATCACATCAATCAAAATAAAACACATAAAAACATGTTTTTGCCTACCTTGCTGATCTAAACTATCAGATGCCTGAATGATCGTTTTAACATTTTTTTTTTTTTTAGATTTCTTCATTTTGATATATAAATAAGCCCTCAGAGATCCTTACCTGTATACGTGTGAAACATTGTGATCATAAATCGATTAATGATCTTGTCTGAGTAAGGTCAAGGACAACCCAGAGATGTCCCACCACAACAAAAATCTTTATGACTAACCAACTCCATTTTCAGAGTCAGTACTTCAACGTGGACCGATGAGGATGAAACAACCAATACAAACTCAACGTGGTGCGTGAAAACAGACACAACAACAAATTCTATTTTATACAATACGACTTGTTTGGAACTCTCTCTTTTATTTAGATTTTAAAATTGCTTCTGTCATCCTCGTGGAACAAAAGGCTGGGGTTAGGTTAACTCGTCAGCACTTAACTAAAACCTCACCAGGAAAGCCAGGCTGAACTCTAAGTCGGACTTTATCGTTCATTCATTGTTCTGCTCAGGACTAAAGTTAAACAAGCACAATCCAGGTTTGACACTAATTAATGGGTGGCAAAAGAAGACGCAGCGTCTGTGGTCAAGATATAATGAGTTGGTAGGTAATTTTTACAAAGAAAAACAATGGCTCAAATTCTGCGGTACTAAAACATCTCCCAGCTGGATTTGTTTTGGCTTTAAATATGTCTGGTGATCATGTCTGGGTCAGAATCCTAAATGGCAAAGTTTGGTCAGAGAGCAGCTCTCTTTCATTCTGCATCTCTAAGAAACAAGTCTAAAGTTAGACACAATTTAGAAAAATGACAGTAAGTGGCTGAATTTAGGTCACTGATGATAATAATTATATTCTGATGAGATTCCAGTTTTGTTCAAGGCAACATATAAAACGGGTTAAAGTTCATAACATACTTATAGGGAATTTTACAATGTGAGTTTTTTAAACCTGAATCAGTCAAATACTTAATATTCTCACATTTTCTGCTAGTCCCATAATAAAAGTACTGTTCATATAAGCTTAACTCAAGAAACGCAGGAGCACCGTGCAAAGGGCTCAGATCAGAGGCTCAGTAGTAAATCTCACCTGCAATAGGAGCAAAAACATTTTATAATTATGAAAATCTTACTTTTCTTCCACAGTTAAGGCTAAATCTGTCATTAAGTTTATTTGTACAAAAAAAAGCTTTTGTGCAGACTGAGTCCAGATTAAGCCAAAACCAGTTCAGAGGTACGTAAGTAAAGGGTCTGACTTTTCGATCCCCACTCACAGCAGGAACCGAACCCGTCACAGGTCTGCTTTAGGCCACACAGCAGTACCTTCTCCACCAAGACTTGGACAAGCTCTTCATGTTGTCCGGTTTTTGCCTTTGCTTTTTCCTGCGTTTTTGTTTCCCTCTCGAGTCCTTACGGGAGCCGTGGTTCTGTATGCCTGCCAGTATGGCTGTGTCAAACACTTCCTTGAGATTTTTTTGGGTCAGAGAGGAGCATTCCACGTAGGCCACAGCCCCAATCTCCATCGCACAGTCCTGAGCGTCCGCCGGGTCTATGGGCCGCTCTCGATATTTAGCCAGATCGATCAAGACCTAAAATAAGATGGCATCAGTTACTTTACATGCTTATTGAGCAACAAATATATATTTTATTCAAGAAAACAGAAAAGACGCCATTACAATGTTTTTCACGTGTGTTTGGAAAAGGTACAACGTGGAACCAGCTTCAATTTTTGAACTTTGTGAAAGAACCATATATAAATGACAAAAAATGTTAAAGATCATAAAACTGTCATGCCATGTTTCATAAAAAGCACTACAGTAATGTGCCAACCTCCTCTGAGAACTTGACTGCACTGAACTCCTCTCTGCTAACTGTATTTTTAATGCACTGCAACAAGATGAGATATATGACACTGTAAGGGCCAAAGATGAATAGTTGCTGTTATAAAACCAGCGGGAGCTGTGAATAATGGAGCAAATGGATGACAGGAACTATGGCTCTCTTTTACTTTAAAATAAAATAAAATTGTTACTGAATTTTCCAGAGGAAACCAAGATGTCACTGTAGAAATTAATAGTGTAAATCATAAAAGTATTTAACACTGAGATCCCTTTGAGGCGCTCCAGGTACATAAACTACCTTAATATGTTCTTTGGGCCAGAGCAAGAATAGTTTCTACTCGATCAGCCAAATGTACTGACACGGATGGTAACATTTTCATTGTCTTTAGTGGTAAAAATTGGATGGAATAAATTGTCTGCTACATGGTTTTTGCAAAAATAAATAATTAAAGTGAGGAGTTGGCAAAACGAATCTCATTATGTGCACATCTACAACAAAAGCCTGATGAAATGACCAACATTTAATCTTAATGTCTTGCAGAGAGTAGTGAAGGTTGCACAGAAGTCTGTTGGAGTCAGCCTCCCCACCATCACAGACATCTACACCTGCAGATGTAGGAAGAGGGCCACCTACATCATGAAGTACCCCACTCACCCAGCACACACTTTTTGCCCCACTCCCCTCAGGAAGGAGGTTGAGGAGCATTAAGTGTAGAACCACTAGACCGGGCATAGGCAAACCCCGGCCCGTGGGCCGTATACGACTCGTTGGGCATTTTAATTGGCCTGCTGAAATTGTCCAAAATTTAGACAATTAAAAAAAAAAAAAAATAATAATTTATTTTTATTTTTATACTTTATTTTTCAGGGGTGCTGAGGTAAAATTTAGGCCCCAAAAAAGGTTAAAATCGCCACTGGTTCAAATTATATTTAAAAAAACTTAATTAAATAGGGAATAAAAACTGGTGTAGTTTTACCTATAGTTCCAGCATTTCCCCAGTAGAGGCACACTACAGACACTGGCGTGTATTATGGTCCGGTCCTTCACTCCAATTTTAGAACTCAATGTGGCCCCCGAGTCCAAAAGTTTGCCCACCCCTGCACTAGACTGAGGAACAGCTTCTACCCCGAGGCTGTTAGACTCTGCTGCTGTGTTCATTTGTACTCATCTGCTCACAGACTCATGGTCGTGCTGCTGTTCGGCGTATTGTTTTCATACTACTGGTGCTTAGCGTATTTTTAGTTTAATGTTTTTCTTAGTTTATATCTTACTACTGTTTTCCTTTTACATTTTATACTTTTGTTGGATATAACTGTGACCCTGTGTACACAATTTCGTTCCACCACATGTACCATATGTGGTGCGTATGACAAATAAAGAGCCTTGAATCCTAAAGCAGTTTAACTTCTTTCTGCCACTGTAATGAAGCTTTACACACTAAGACACTAATGAAACACACAACAAGCATTAAAGTGAGACCTATTTTTGTTTATGTGGTAAACCTCCACACCTTGACGTCCTCTCGGAGGTCACACTGCGTCCCGACGAGGACAAGCGGTGCAGACGGGGCGTGGTTCCGAATCTCCGGGACCCATTTTTCTGGAACGTTCTGAAAGGAGGCAGGACTGACGACGCTGAAGCACAGCATGAACACATCTGCGCTGGTGTAACACAGAGGACGCAGCTTGTCAAACTCGTCCTGAAAGACGCAGAGAAAGAGAGGCGTTGTGAGTTTTACTGTCATCGAGAGAAAACTAAATCAGAAAGAAAATGTGTTTTAAGACATTTGGATTAAAAAGAAAAGACGCCAAGAGTGTTGTGTTGCCAGAAAATCCATTAAACTTTCACAGAAGTGAATGAGACAACAGGAAGGGAGAAATTATGTGTATTACAAGAAGGAGCAGCTGAACAATGTCAGAATTACTGTATTTTTCTGATTATAAGGTGCACTTACAATTCTTTAATTTTCTCAAAAAATCGACAGTGAGCCTTATTTATTAACTCTGGTTGTGCTTACTGACCTCAGACTGATTTTATGTGGTACACGGCGCTCAAAAATCTGTCAAAATTAATTTGTTTCGCTTAATGCGCCTTATAATCCGGTGCGCTTTATAGTCCGAAAAATACGGTATTCCCACCAGTGGAGCAAAAAGGAAACTTTTAAGACTCCTACATTTTTAGAAATACAAGAAAAACTTAAATAATTCATCTAGAATTGGTATTTTATAATCTATTAACTAGAAATTTTGCTCTGGTTTCATCTCTCTCTTTTTTCCCCCATAACTCTCCTTCCTCCTTCATTTTATTATCAGAGTGTGATGATAACATAACTTCACTCTTAATTTAATTAACATATTAATGTCTGGCTTCTAAATAAGAAATTCTATAATAATTTTACACAACTTTCCCTCTTGGTAAAAGAGCCATCTTGTTTTAATTGCATGTAGCTGTTGTTTCATTACGTGACACCATATGTTGCAGTACGCAGAAAGAATCTGTTGGCCTTATCATAAAAAACGTGGTACAGAGCATACCTAACATATCTTTTTTGTCTCATCAGAGAGCCGTGGCTTCATCTGACCAGTGGTAGCTTGTCCCTCGTCGTGATATAGATCTTTTACTATCTTTTTCAGACAGCAATCTGCTGCAGCAGCTGTGGACATGCCATAATTACATCACTTCCTGCTAACAAAGGAATTCATTTCCACGGAAAGACCTATCAAATGCATAGTTTCCTGGACAAGAACCCACTTACAAACAATCTATTCTTGGTCTAGTTTTAATTTAAGTATCTGCTGTGTATGAAAACCTCCTGTTATTCAGGAAGTTTGCTGTGATTAGCAAATAAAAATGGAAAAATATATATAGTTGATTTCCCTTCACTCATTTCACTTACTTTAAATGCTTTTAAATCAGTATAATTTGTTGCGTAGTTGTTCCGAAGATTAATTCACTTTAGATAATTTTAGTGAATACGAGGGAAACAATGCAGCTGTTTTGATTTAATCCAGGAACTGCTGATGTGTCTAACTTTCTCCTCTGCCATATCCAACTGTGGACCTTTCAACAGAATAATCAAGTCTGAAAATGCAAAAAGTCCAAATGATGCATAGATGGATGCCTCACAGCGTGGAAAGGAAAAGGTACTTTTAATATTCGTACTGTTCAACATACTTGAAAAGCATTTGGAAATGCTGCTGCTGTGTTTTTGTGCCTTTGCACTGAGATCACTGACCTGTCCAGCTGTGTCACAGAGTTGTAGTTTGACTGGTTGCCCATCCACTGATACCACGGCTACAAAAGAACAGACCATAATAATGTCAGCAGCACACATGGAAAGGCTACATTAGTCATCAGCTGACAAATATTTAGCTTTTAAGACTCATATAAGTTTGACATATGTAGCAACCACACAATCTTAAATGTAATTATGACGACTTCCTTCAAATTATTTAACAACATTATACAATTAGGGTAAAAAAAATCCTTCAGAAATATTTAATTATAAGAAAACAAACTATATGTTCCCCTAATGGCTAACAATTTAAAACTCTTAACATCAGGTGGACATATAATTCAATTTGTCCCTATACTTTCAAAAAGGTAGTGATTTAGTATGGTTATTTGCACATCCTCAAAGCTAATTATCATCTATTAACTGGAATAAAGAGAAAAGCCCGAGCAGAGATGTGGGCAATATATGGCCCGAGGGCCAAAAGTGGCCCTTGAATATTCTCCATCCGGCCCCCAATACTCCTAATTGAAAAGAAACCAACTTTTAAATAGTTCATGTTTTGAACCACTTTGGCTATGGCTCAGAGGAGTCGAGGGTGGAGAGGGCGGACTCCTGAAACCATCTTATCACCATAAAACTGGTTGGCCCACTATGTGAATAAGCCACTTATGGGACTGAGTTTGTTGTGGCTCCTTGAACTGAAGAAGTCCTTTGGATGAAGGACGGAACTTTGCAACCAAACAAGAAACAGTCCAGAGGACTTGACTTAACTTTGTTCAACTTTTAAATGAGTTGGAGAAAACCAGCATTTTATCAATGAAACTTATGGGAGTTTAAATTCAACATCCTGGACAAATAAAATGAAAGCTTTGGATTAAGAAAATATATTTTTAAGTCATTGTTTTCAGATTGAACCTTCAAGATTCCAAAAAGCAAACATGTCCCTTTTTTTCTCTATGTGGTCCATAAAAATACAAATTATTTATTTATCTTTTTCAAAAATGGCTGAAATTAAGAGGACTAAAATGTAGATTAGACTGGACTAAGATTGGTGTGTTTTTACCTGAGAAGTTGTCAAAGGCAGTGGGGACGTACTCCGTGGGGTACCCATTAGTGGTGTAGCTGACCACCAGGCTGGTTTTGCCCACGGCTCCGTCCCCCACCAGGACGCACTTCACGCGCCTCTCGGGTGCCACAGCCCGCCGCGTCCGCCCTCCGGAGCCCGTGTCCCGGCTCCGGACTCTCCTCGGCGGGACAGGCGGAGCAGGGGACACCGACGCCGGCTTGTAGCCCTCGTTGTCCCGCGAGGACACCTGGCAGGGAGAGGACGGGGACATGGAGGTGGACAGGCTTCGGTCCCCGCGTGTTGGCTCCGTTTTTTCACGCGTCCATTCCTCAGACTTCCTCCGTCCGCAGCTGGTCTACTGACGCACAGCGCTGTGGTTCCGTCCACTTTCCATCTAAAGTGGAACTTCTCCACGCGCGTTTAGTTCACGAGACGATAAAGATGTCCATTTGAGCCACATCAGGAAAAGTTTTGATCAGAAAACTCGGAGTCGAAGAGCAGAGACTGATCAGAGCTGGTCAGCGTGTCCGTCCCTGCTCCCCGTCTTTGACAATGTGCGTGTATGCGCGTGTGTGCGTGTGTGCGCGCGTGTGTGTCAGAGCAGAAAATTACTGCAGCGTGTACTTTTATTTAATTTTTTTATGTATTTGATGTTTTGATGTTGAACATTTTTGCAGTTTTGTTGCGCAACGTGTGATTTTGTTTTATGCCTCACCAGCTTTAGTCACATGCCACATTTTATCAGACAGCTGGCTTGAGGTGGGGAAGAATGACTTTTCTTTTCTTTACTGATGCTGAACTAAAATAAAGAAGGGAAAAAAGGTTTTAAAAAAGGCCAATTACTTTGCATACAAAAACATGCATGTTATTATGCTATGCTATGTTATGTTATGTTATGTTATGTTATGTTATGTTATGTTATTATTATATCATGTATGTTATGCATGTTAAATAATTTCCCTCTGGGATTAATAAAGTATTTTTGAATTGAATTGAATTGAATGTTAGGTTGCCTTATTCAGGCCCAGGCTTCCCTTGCAAAAAAAAAAAAAAAAAAAAAAAAAAAAAAGTGATCTCAATGGGATTTGCCTGGTTAAATAAATTAAAAAAAAGGTTAACTGAACTTTTGCTTCTGGTGTGTAGATAAGATAAAATAAGATAGAGCTGTTTTTGATTCCACAGGAAATTGTTGTGCCAGAGTTTCGGTAACATGCACAAGGAATCACACAAGATATCAAAAATAACAGAGAATACAAAAATACCATCAATTAAGGTCTAAAACAAGTGCAGAAACATTAAAGTGTTTATTGTGGTGCAGGATTTATTTTATTGTCCTATGTGTAGAAAGGTGGAGGAGGTGAAAAGTTTGATAGCCACCACTTCCTGTGTTCTGTGGAGCACCTCAGTGGGTCAGGTGGTCTCAGGTGGTCTCAGGTGGTCTCAGGTGGTCTCAGTCTACGACTGAAGGTGCTGCAGTAAGAGTCCAGGGTGGCATGCAGGGGGTGTGATGTGTTGTTCAGGATCTGGAGCAGTTTCCTCAGCATCCTCTGCTCAGACACATCTGTCAGAGACTGCAGGTCCACTCCCAGAACTGAGCCAGCTCTCTTGAAGAGTTTATCGAGTCTGTTGGCATCAGCTTTCTTCACCCTGCTGCCCCAGAACACCAGACGCTGGAGACCAGCGAGTGGTAAAACATCTGCAGCATGCTCCTGCAGACATTAAAGGACCTGAGTCTCCTCAGAAGAAAAAGGCAACTCTGCCCTGTCTAGAGGGCATTGGTGTTAGCTGTGGCATTACATTTGTAATATTTATACATCTTTGTTTTGTTACATTCTTTCAGTTCAGTTTCACTTCTGGTACCGGATCATATTCAGTAGTGATTTTGCTTTTTTTTTTCACTTGTTTGTTAAACCACTGCTCTAAAGGGGCACCTAAACTCAAGGGATGAACCATTTATACATAATGGTTTGATACCTTTTTTTTCTTGTTGGATCTTAACAATAAACATGAAAGACTATAAAATTGGACATACATAAACTATTATTTTAGCACTATGGTGATCCCCTTAAAGTTATTAGCTGAAAATTTGGTACACAGATAACAGAAAGATGTTACCTCTCCTCTGTGTTAGGTCTTTCCTGAGTCATTTATTTTTCTTATTAAAAATAAAAACCTTTCAATTTTATTCATTGACTAATAGTTTTTAGGCCAGCCACTTTTTTCCTCAGTCATTCTCTTGTCCATCTTGCACAATTGATTTATTTGTGAATTTATTTTTTTTATTGTGGGACCATGGCACATTGAGCACAACAGTTGTTTTCAGTCAAAATGTTTCTAAAAGATCTTCAGGAAAGCTGCAGTCTTTACTCTAAACAAGATGAACACTTTAATTATTTGCGCAGTCTATAAAATTACCGGTACATTCTGATTTGATACTAAAAATTACTAAAATTTATTAATTTGTCACTGATTCATGAAAATGCTTGCTTTAATGAGTCTTTCAAATAAATTACATGCAGCAGAGTAGCTACTATAATTAGTCTGAATAAGTTATGTAATTATGTATTCCAGTAAAATACACATCCAAATCTCAAGTATGATTTATTTATGAGCACATTTAAATACAACAGGTACAAGGTATTGTACACATAATCTAGTTGGATCAATGTAAAAATACAGTATTTGAGTTGTTTAGGTACTTTCCAGCGCTGTTATTATTCATCTGAGCTGGATTCTTTTTTTTTTTTTTTTATCCCCAGAGACAATTCAAGTGGGCGTTATAATAGTTTGGGCTGTTTTAATTACTGATATAAATCGTCACCGCCCTCTAGCGGACATAATGAAACACGCGAGCACGCACACGTTATTTAATACAAAACTTTATACCTATTAAATATCTAGTAGTTTGACACAAGCTATAAAATTTAATACTTTTAGATTTGTTAACGTCAGTTTTCACTTCCGTTGTGAGAATGTCGTTGCCTGCGGAACTAAACACCGGCTGATGTTTCCCTACGGACGACTTTCGCAGCTGTACCTACATGTGTTGTGCTTTTCAAATCAGTCAGTAGAGCAGCGTATTCTCTTAAGTTTATATATAAAAACACTAACATGTCTTCTGCCGATGTAGTTTTAGGTTTTCTTGAAGACGCGGAGCCGTGGCGGCTTCGAGCCTCTCAGTTCCCCAGTAAAGTCGGTGGGAGGCCGGCGTGGCTCAGTCAGACAGGCCTACCCTCTGTGTCCGCGCTGGAGTGTGAGATCTGCGGGCTGCCGATGGTCTTCCTGCTGCAGGTTGGTGTTATGGAGAAGGGAGGAGGTCTACCGAGACACTTTAGTTATTCCCCCTCTTGTGTTACTTTTATGTTCTTACGGAAAATGTAATTAACCTGAAAATCCCCCAGACTCTGAAAATTGTTAATTTAATCTTGATAAATCAAAGAGATCAAAGACTAGACTGCAGTATTAATGTAATAGGCGTTGGTATTTTATCTTCTTATTGCTTGAATAAACTGGAAACAGTTTATTTTCATTTATCTTTAAACATTAACTCAAACTTTTACTAGCATACTCAAAAATAAAACAGATTTACACCTATTAATTTTTCTAATTTCTCAGAGAGACATGAATAATGCATACATATTTGTAGTTTAGACAGCGTTATTAGCTTTAAAAAGGCCACCTTTCACTTCAAAATTTCACTTCTACTCATTTGTGCAAAATTTAAACACAATTTTTAACTTTCCATTAATTTTCTTGCAACGTAATGCTTTCTAAATTAAAACGATTCTGGATTTATATCTGACAAAACTCACCCATGAGCTTTCACATATGGAGCATTTCTCCTTATAAATCATAGTCTTATTCTGCTGCAGGTATACGCTCCAATATCAGGATGGGACAGAAGTTTTCACAGAACCCTCTTTCTGTTCTGCTGCAAAACTCCTAAGTGCTATTCACGAAATGACAACCGCTGCATAAAAGGTTACAATCATTACGGCTTTTATGTTTTGTCTTTGGTCACTTACATGTTAGCACAGCAGCTGTAACTTAATCGTGCTGCATGATTTAAACTATTCACACACAATATAATTTTTTACTGGTTTTCTGATTGTTTTGTCTTTTATGACAGTTTTCAGGAGTCAACTCCCCAGAAAGAATGACTTCTACCCTTATGACCCTCCTCCAGGTTTGTCCTTGTTATATGCTTGTACTATTTTACATTAATGGGAAAAAAAATCGGGAATACTGACTCAGCTAAAATATTAAGACTGTAATATTTGCAGTCCTGTAAATACTGTAAAATACATAAACGTGCATTAATTTAAAATTGTGCTATTTTAACTTTTTATTCTGTTTTGCTAGTTGTTCAGCTTCTAACTTAGCATTATTTCAGGGTCTTATGTAATCACTGTAAAAAACTGCGAAAACAATTGATCGAAGGAGTTGATAATCCACCGCTGCCCAACAAAAATGCATTTTTATCATCTTCCTGTAAAAATCTGGCCGTTAGAATCACCACATTTTTTGTTTCCTTTTGGCGGGGATTTTGTTCAGAGGATGAACCACAAAGCGACCCAGAGGAGGACCACAGTGTCTTACCTGTCTCTCAAGTTAAACTGTGTTGGGTGTGTGGTTGCCCTGGCAACAAGACCTGCTCCCGCTGTCACGCTGTAACCTACTGTGGGAAACACCACCAGACTGTCCACTGGAAACACTCTCATAAGAAGGAGTGCTGCAGTCCAGGTACACGTGTATCCAGTTCAAACACTTACTGCAGCTTCAGCTCAGAGTCAGAGTTTGTTTTCAATCTGCTGCTTTGTCTGTCTCAAAATTAAGAGGCCTCCTCCGTCACAACTTCACCTCTTCTTTTTCCTGAATCTGAGCTGGTCACTGAGCCTGAGGAGGAGCGAGAAGACCCAGAGGCTGAGGAAGATGAGGGTGGCGTTCAAAAAAGTGCTGATGGTCCTTCATTAGCAGAGAGTAAGCTTTCAGTTGAATTAGAAACACGTCTGTTTATTATATTCGCTGCATAAATGTGTCATTTTAGTGCCAGCTGAAAATATTTGATTGTTTTGTTTATTTCATGACGGTTTTTTAATTGTATTTGTTGCCCATCAGCTCTGGCAGAAGCAGATTTGGAGGAGATGGCGATGCATGAGACTGAAGACAACAAAGTTTTCCAGCGGTTCAAAAAGAGGATCGCCTCAGAGCCGCATCAGGTGAGAAAAACTTGGCAGCTCAGCGTTATGAAAATTCACACAGATGTTCTTCTTTGTGACCGTTTGACAGTCTTTCATCTCATCCAGGTGATACGTTACAGTCGAGGAGGCTGTTCCCTGTGGGTCTCCTCTCATCACATCCCTTCAGACGAGGATATCCCACCATGCACCTGTGGAACCAAGCGGACGTTTGAGTTTCAGGTCATTATTGATTTCAAACTCACAATAATCTTAACTTAAATCAGTTTGAGGTCTTTATTAAACTCTCAATGTGCACAGCTTTAAATTTGCATGTGTTATTAAGACTGATGCGTTTTACAAAACATTTTTAGTAACACAAATGCTTTTATTATATAATTCAAAATGTCCCATGACAAAATAATGTCATTGTATATGACCTCAGAAAAGACTGATGCATGTTTAGGACCAATATGTGAAGAAAACAGTTTTGTTGGTTGAGAGTAAAAACTAACAATCATGTGTTTGTGTCTGTAGGTGATGCCTCAGCTCTTGAACAGCCTGTGTGTGGACTCAACAGGTGTTAGCATTGACTGGGGGACTCTGGCTGTTTACACCTGCTCTGACAGCTGTAACCATGACGACCAGTACTGTCCCGAGTTCATCTGGAAGCAGGACTTCAGCTCAGATCAGCACACACAGATGAAAACACATAAATGAGCTTTCTGTGTAGCTGGATGAAATTCAGGTTGCTGATCAGTGTTTACTTTAAAAGTGGACTGAACCGAGACGTCTAATAAAATGGTTTTATGACTGATTTATTTTCAGAAACGATCAGCAAAGATGTCCACAGTAAACATGCATCTTATCCTGCCGATGGAAGTTTTTATTTAATTTTAAAGAAATGCATAAATATATTGGTCTACGTTTAGTTAACTACACATCATGTTGCTCTTGGACTGTACTGATCTCTCATTTCTGAGGGCATTCAAATAAGACAGTATTTTTATATATGGCAGATCTTAAACCTTCATACAGATTTTTTAAGCACCATTCTATATTTAACAAGAGTGACCCAACTTATTAAAACTTCAGATATTCAAACAAAGGTTGTGCTTTATTAAAAATGTATTTACTTTTACTTAATGCATAATAGGATATTAGCTTTTTAGGCACCTGAAGGACTCTCAGATTATGAGAAACGAAGTTCTCTGCTCTGATGAGACAAAGATTGAACTCTTTGGTGTGCCAGGTGTCATGTTTGTAGAAAACCAGGCAGCGCTCATCACCAGGCCAATATCAAATTCTTCTTTCGGCTTTTCCCTCTTCAGGGGTCGCCACAGCGAGTCATCCTCCTCCACCTCACTCCAACTACCTTCATGTCCTCTCTAACTGCATCCATATATCTCCTCTTTGTCTTTTTCCTGGCAGCTGCATTTCTAACATCCTTCTACCAATATACCCACGGTCCCTCCTCTAGATATGTCCAAACCATCTCAGTCTGGCCTCCCTAACTTTATCTCCCAGTTGTTCAACCTGTGCTGTACCTCTGATGATCTCATTCCTAGTCTTATCCATCCTCGTCACTCCTAAGGAGAACCTTAGCATCTTCATTTTTGCCACTTCCAGTTCTTTCTCCTGTCTTTTTGTCAATGCCACCGTCTCCAGACCATACAATATAGCTGGTCTCACCACTGTCTTGTAAACTTTTCCTTTGACCTTTGCTGACACCCTTTTGTCACAAATCACTCCTGAAACTTTTCTTTATCCACCCCATCCTGCCTGGACTCTCTTTTTCACTTCTTTACCACATTCCCCATTTTCCTGGACAGTGGACCCCAAGTACTTGGAAGTTCTGCACCTTTGTGACCTCTGCTCCTTGTAGCCTTACTGTTCCACCAGCTCATTTACACACACATGTACTCTGTTTTACTACGGCTGACTTTCATTCCTCTTCTTTCAAGTGCATACCTCCACGTCTCCCAAGTTCTCTTCCACCTGTTCCCTGTTCTCACCACAGATCAAAATGTCATCTGCAAACATCATAGTCCATGGGGATTCTTGCCTGACCTCATCTGTTAGTCGGTCCAGAGCAAACAAGAAGGGGCTCAGCGCCGATCCTTGATGCACTCCCACCTCCACCTTGAAGCTATCTGTCACTCCTACAGCACATCTCACCACTGTCCTGCTGTCATACATGTCCTGTACCAGTCAAACCTACTTTTCTGCCACTCCAGATTTCCTCATACAATACCACACCTCCTCCCTCGGCACCCTGTCATATGCTTTTTCTAAATCCACAAAGACAATGGAGTTCTTTCTGAACTACTCTGTACTTTTCCATCAGCATTCTCAAAGCAAAGATGGCATCTGTGGAGCTCTTTCTTGGCATGAAACCATACTGCTGCTCACAGATAATAGTCACCTCTCGTCTAAGTCTTGCTTCCACAACTCTCTCCCAGATCTTCATCGTGTGGCTCATCAACTTAAATCCCCTGTAGTTGCTACAACTCTGTACATCACCCTTGTTCTTAAAAATGGGCACCAGCACACTTCTTCTCCATTCCTGAGGCATTTTCTCACACTCAAATATGCCACTGAATATTTGGGTCAAAAACCTCACTGCTATATCCAAGATATTTCCAAACCTCCACTGGTATGTCATCAGGTCCTACTGCCTTCCCCTTCTTCATTCTTTTCAGAGCTTTCCAGACTTCACCCTCACTAATCTTTCCCACTTCCTGGTCCACAGTTTCTATGACCTCTACTCTTCTTTCTCTTTCATTCTCTTCATTCATTAGCTCCTCGAAGTACTCCTTCCTTCTTCCCATCACACTCTCCTCACTTGATAGAACATTACTATTCCTATCTGTAATAAGCCTAACCTGCTGTACATCCTTTCCAGCCTAATCCCTCTGCCTTGCCAATCAGTACAAGTCCTTCTCGCCTTCTTTAGTGTCCAGTCTCCCATACAACTCATCGTACGCCCTTTGCTTTGCCCTAGCTACTTCCCTCTTTGTTCTACATCCCATCTCCTTATATTCCTGTCTCCTCTCTTCAGTCCTCTGTCATATTTCTTCTTGGCTAACCTCTTTCTTTGAACGGCGTCCTGCACTTCACTATTCCACTACCAGGTTTTCTTATCATCCATTCTCTGTGCAGATGACACACAAGTACCTTCCTACCTATCTTTCTAATTACTGTTGCTGTAGTAGCCCAGTCATTTGGAAGCTCTTTCTTACTACCCAGAGCCTTTAACAGCTCCTCTCTGAATTTCTCACAACATTCTTCCTTCTTCATCTTCCACCATTTGGTCTTCTTCTCCGATTTTACTCTTTCTCTTCTTCACAACAACAGTCATTCTACACACAACCATCTGATGCTGTCTGGCCACGCTCTTCCCCGCCACAACCTTACAGTCTCCAATCTCCCTCAGGTTTCCTCTTCTACACAGAATGTAGTCGACCTGCGTACTCTTTCCTCTACTCTTATAGGTCACTATGTTCCTCCCTCTTTTGGAAATAGGTATTGACTATAGCCATTTCCATTCTCTTGGCAAAATCCGCCACCATCTGTCCTTCCTGGGTTCTTTCCTTGACACCAAATCTACCCATCACTTACTCATCCCCTCTGTTTCCTTCACCAACATGTCCATTCAGGTCTGCTCTGATCACCACTCTCCTCCCTGGGAATACTCTCTATCACTTCATCCAGATCTTTCCAAAATGTATCTTTCTCTTCCTCATCACATCCAACCTGTGGAGCATAACCACTGATTATGTTTAGCGTCAGACCTTCTACTTCCTTCAGGCACATCACCCTATCTGACACTCTCTTCACCTCTACTACATTCTTTGCCAACTCCTCCTTTAGAACCACCCCTACCCTATTTCTCTTTCTATCCACACCATGATAAAACAGTTTGAATCCTGCTCCAATGATGCGAGCCTTGCTGCCCTTCCACTTGGTCTCTTGGACGCATAAAACATCTACTTTTCTTCTCTGCATCATGTCAGCCAGCTCTCTACCTTTGCCTGTCATTGTCCCCACATTTAGAGTTGCAACCCTCAGTCCTACATTCTTCACTTTCCTCTTCTCCCTCTGTCTCCTGACACGTTTCCCTCCTCGTGGTCTTCGACTAACGGTAGCACAATTTCTGCCGGCACCCTGTTTGTCAACAGCACCGGTGGCGGTCGTTGTTAACCCGAGCCTCGACCGATCAGGTATGGTTTTGCTTTGATGAATTTGCATTATTGTTTTGGCAAAAGTGTTTTACATCGGATACCATTCCTGACACAACCCTCATCATTTACCAGGGCTTGGGACCGGCACAAGAGATACACTGGCTTGTGCTCCCTAGTGGCTGGTTTAGGCCAATATCAAATATATATATATATATATATATATATATATATAAAAAACAGTGAAGCATGGTGGTGGCAGCATCGTGATATGGGGATATTTTTCAGCAGCAAGAACTGGCAGATAGCCAGAATAGAGGGAAAGATGAATGCAGCAATGTAGAGACATCCCAGATGAAAATCTGCTCCAAAGCGCTCTGGACCTCAGACTGGGGCGACAGTTTATTTTTCAGCAGGACAACCCAAAGCTCATGGCCAAGATCTCAAAGGAGCTGCTTCAGGACCACTCTGAAAGTCCTGGAGTGGTCAAGCCAGAGTCCAGACTTTCATCTGATTGAACATCTCTAGAGATATTTGACAATGGCCGCTGCACGGACGTCTCCCAGAAGTACTGCGAAGAAGAATGGGACAAACTGCCATAGGTATGCTCAGCTTGAGGCATCATATTTGGAGGTTGTAATTGCTGTCAAAGGTGGATCAAGAATGTATTAAGCAAAAGCTGTAAATATGGTACTTGCCTAAATGTGAATTCTTAGTTTTCTACTTTATATACATTTGCAAAAATATTTTTCATACTGTCACAATGGGGTAGTGTAGAATTTTGAGGAAAGGCATTTCAATAATCTCCTTCATGCTTTCTCAAGATGAGTCTGCGATGAGAGTTATTTCAAAGCAGTCTGCTCCTCAGATGTTAACTTATTTTTATACATGAACGTTTCTGTTCGGTGCCAAGACAACTTGGCGCTATATATATATATATATACTGAATTTAATTGTTTTTTATTGCATTCACGATGTCTGCGGAGTGCAGAACAAGAATTAATTTGCAGACTAAAACTAAAATGTTATCACAAAAACAAGACATTTAATGTTAATATGTGCAGCTTTATTAATATACTGGGCAGCACGAATGGTTTCAGAAGCATTTGATCTAAAAAGCTTTCTAATAAATCTGCAGACAGCACAGACGTCAGCTGGAAGAGAGAGATGGTGAAAATACCGTACTTGACCAAACATGTTACTTTAATGCACTGTGTAACAAACACTGAGTTGACTGCAAAATGTTTTCATGGTTGTTGCGTGTGACAAGTTGAATCTGTATTCAACACACAAGCACATCAAGAAGTGTACATTGCTCATTCACTTAAAAATAATTAAGTGTCCAAATAAAAAGACAACCAGAACAGGTAAAACAGCTAACACGCATCCAAAATATGAAATGAACAAAAACTATTTAAACTTTCCAAACATTTTCTGCCAACATACTGCCACTTGGTGCTTTATTTAAAACTCGGATAAGTTATTCCTGCAGTTGGAGTCACTTTCCCACTAATGAAATACAAAAATATATGTACACGCTCAAATTTAACCATTAAATACTTATTTCTGTAATAAAAAAGACCATCTGTCTTTTTAAGTAAAATGCTTGTTTCAAATACACCGATCAGCAAAAAGTTAAAGTCTGGAAGTACCTAAACCAAGTTAAAAAATAAAAGAATACAAAAAAAAAATAAAAGGTGGACAAGCAAGAACCTGATGAAAACTTTAGTGAGAGTATTTACATTAATTCAACTTTAATTATTTTAAGGGTATAAATCCTCAATAACTGTTCAGGAAATTAGGCTTTGGAAATTAGGAGTTGGAACAGATTTGTGCATGTATCAATAAAACTTGAGAAATTAAAAAGAAAAGCAATGTACAAAAGTATTTAAAACGGTTTCAAATAAAACAGATCAATCAAGACTGATTTTCTCAACAATATTTTACATTTTCTTACAGTTGTATTTACAATTATGCGTGTGATGGAGCAACAAAAACAAAAATGCAGGAAAAAAGAACAGGAAAATGGACCTATAATCTTGTTTAAAATTTTTTTGGGAAAAAAAGTCACAACATTGTACAACAGCCCTTACAGCCTTACCTGTGGAGCTCAACATTTATTGAAAAAAAGAGCTTGAAGTAAAAAAAAAAAAAGTTGGGGAAGTAATTTCCAGGTTCTACGTTGTTTTGCGAAAGCCTTTTAGAATGGGGTATATGTTGTCAAATGCATCGTAGATCTCAGTTCTTACTTTGGCCCCTATAAAACAAAAACACCCATCAGTAAGCAGATAAGTCTATAAAGCAGAATAATCTGTATATATCGATGTATGATGTATCTACTATATTGCGATTCAAAACATTTTTATTTGATTTACAATCTTAATTAAAAATGCCCACTAAACAATAATCACAAACTAATTTTTCAACACCAAGCTTTACCTGTAAGTACTACTTTTCCAGAAACAAAAATTAGCAGGACAATTCTGGGTTTGATCATCCTATAAATCAATCCTGGAAACAGCTCGGGCTCATAACTGCAAAACACAAGTTATTTAATTGATAAATAAAATAAACACTTTAAAAGCTATCATTTCAAATGTTTATTTTTTTGGTTCTGTGTGTGAAAGGTTACCTGCTAAACTGCTGATGAGTGAGAACCAATCCCTCCAGTCGAATTGGAAACTTCACATCACAACTGCCCACCATGTTCTGAATCTTGAAGTCCAAAAACTTGGCGGGGAACCCAAGCTTCTGCACCACACGAGCATATTTTCTAGCTGCTAACCTTGACTGTTCCTCACTGGAAAGAGTGAGTTAGTTAGAGAGAGACAGAGCCCCTTGAAGGTGGTACTAAAAAAAGATTATTTAGTAGACTTTTTGTGACAATGACATTGTTTAAGGTTCTGACCTTTTTGCTCCAGTACAGACCATTTTCCCAGAACTGAAGATGAGAGCAGTGGTCCTTGGTTCTCGTATTCTCATAATGACAGCAGCAAAACGCTAAAAAAAATAAAATAAGTATTACATTGCATGATACAGATGATATAGATAAGGGGAGCTAATAATTGTAGTCTTACCTTCGGGTTGTATTCGGCATTTCTGGCTCTCAGGGCAATGGTCTTCAGATCCAGTTTACAGCCCAGATTTACAGTAGATACTATGTTTCTAATTGTAAATAAAAAACATAAGCAGAAGAGAAAGAACTGCAAAAAAGACAATCTTATAAAATGAAACTGTAGATTTGTCTGTGATTATAAGCCATATTTCTGTTCAGTGAAATTCAGACTCCTGGGTAAGTAAATAAACTTTGGCTGCATAAAATCTATGTCAACAGTAAGTGAAACTAAAAAGCATGCATAAACAAAAATTGTACAGCCTCTTGATGTATTCTTATGTAAGCTCAGGGTATTTTGCCCTCTCACAATTCTAGGAAAGCGTGTTTTAAAATATTCATTTAGTTAGATATGAAAACATACTGTAGCTGTGGTACAATTCCAGAGCTCTCTGAGGCAGGTGTAGATGGTGTGATGGGAGTCATGGGGGTTACTGGGTTGTTAGAGAGCGGGGGATTTCCTGGGAGCGCTGTCGTGGTCGAACCAGCTACTGTCTGGGAATGAAACAGTTGAGGTGCTTGCCCCAATGTCCCCGGAAGGCCTAGGTCAAACAGTTTAATTTGTATTTACAGATAGAACTAAAAGTAAAGAATATGTTTGGATGTTGCTGAGAAAATGGCAAGGACATCAATAATGGTACTGTACGTGGTACCTGTGTTGGCCTGCTGCGCTGCTTGTTGTTGCTGCTGCTGCTGTTGTTGTCTCTGCTGTTCCTCGAGTATAGACAAACTGTTTGTGTTCTGTACTGGCTGGGGTGTCAGGCCCGAGCCATATGGTATAGGACTGAACATCTGTAAGGGGGTCATGGCACCCTGCACAAAGAAATACATTTTTTTACTTAAAAACACACACAAAAAGCTTTTGGCATTTCTGTAAATGGTCATTTATCAAAAGCATATTTAATAAACCAAATGCGCTGATTAAACTTTGATGGAAATAAAGTTGCCATTTAGAAGCATCAGTGCGACTTGTGGAAAATGTCAGGAGGTAGACCAGAAAAAAAAGACCTTGTTACCTGAGGCGACGGCAGTCCTTGAAAAGGCGGTATGCTGTTGTTCTGATCCATCTCGTCAGCTCCTCACACTCCGACACAACCACCAGGAGCAGGCAGTAATGTAAATCTGACGAAGTTCACACAGCAGGAGGCACCAGTGGGGTCTATGAAATATCTGCGCCACACACACAAAAAAAAAAAAAAAAACTTTTTTTTAAATAAAAACACCAAATGTACCGAACTCCGCAAAAAACAAACAACTTCTTCTAATCCCTACTTACCTTCCTGCAAGAGAGACAAGCACCAGTTGTGTGAGCCATACGTCGCATTGACGTATGGCTCACACACAAACTTTAGCTCTTCTACAAGCTTGGCGTTTCAAAGAAGCCATTTATCCCCTTTAACCACGCGCATTGTGTCAGTTTAAA